TATATATATATATATATACGTAGTATCTGTAACCGAATTTGTGATGACTAAATAAGGACACAACATGACGCTAATGGGAGCAGTGATGAATTGTCAGATAATGTAGTATGATAATAAAAAAGCTGTAATGTAGCATGATAATGTAATGATGTTCGATACAGAAGTTGAAAACAACGTCAGAAATAAGATGCTGTAACTGGAATATTCGGTCATTGAAGGATCAATTTGGTTCTGGCGTGAGGATTGAAAGAACATAGAAACAAAAGTGACGATTCATTCGAGTTTAGACTTGATTAAGCACGTTTCCGAGGTTGAATATGAGGTTGGTACCATAGTGAAAAGCATATTTATGGATCATTCTTGATCCCTTATAAGTTATGAGTAAGCACTCCAGAACTGGTTGTTAACCAATTAGAAATGGCTTATAAGAACTAAGGTAAGATTTAATTACTTGGATGTTAACTAGTCTTATACACTCGCCGTTCAGCCTTCGTTCGATCCAACAGATATTCATCACCTTTGTAAAGATTTATTCGATGAGTCATTGATGAAAATGCATGAAAAATACGAAGTATATAATTGTTTAAGAACGTTTTTCATCACAGCGGTTGGAGAGGTTGATAGGATTGCCAAAATCCATGTTAAATTATTCACTGAACATAATAATATGCAAACAAAAATAGCAATATGTTGGTGATGTATTGCGAAACAACTCTCTACAGTTACTGAGCTAAACATCTTTACAGTGATACCATAACTGATTAATACTAGAGGTTCAGAGGTTTTCTTTCAAACAGCATTATAATAATTGCTAAAACATATTTAATGTGTCGATTGGAACGAATATTTTTGTAGTAATAAACAAGAACGTTCACAATTGCCAGTCAGATTCATTATTTCTGCGATAATAAATTCTTCATTGTGATAACAATTTCGATTGAACGTTCGTTTAGACTTCCCGATGATGAGTGGTTATTTTGTCAATATTATTACATAATAATAATGGACTGACATTGGAAGAGTGAGCATAAACTGTCGAAGAGAGATCTTTCGTTCATTAGATCCACATAAAAATGCTCAATCATTGGTAATTCGAACAATGAAATGAATGAATATAATAGTTCACTAAAAGATAGTGCTCTGTTGATGCAATTTTCTAACACTCATTGTACGTCGATGGTGTTGAATACAACCAAATGATAGGAGATCACGAAAACACCGTCGAAAATCACCGTTGTACATCGTATAAATTATTGGATTCAACACCTGAAGTATGTGTAACATTTTGAGGAACTAAATTTCGTTTACGTAAAAAGTCAATATTACACGATAATTGTAACATTTTAAAACGTTATTTAATATGTCGTTCACTTCGAGAACAGTATGCAGCTTTTTTTGTATGTATGAGAGCTGTTTGTATGCCACCAATATATCGTGAACATCTTGATTCCGATTTGGACAATTTGCTTAAACGAGTATTTTCTTTCCAAAAACTTAAATATCAGCAATGCCTAGCATTTTTGCAATGAATTCGAATCAGATCAAATCTATCGCAAAATAAAAAATCTGAATTGACCAAAACTTCGATATCGATCGAATCAGTGGAATGTTTGATCAATTCAATTGGTTAAATTAAATGATGAAGTGGTTGGATCAAGTGATTCGACAGTAGTTCCAATGAATTACATTGAATGAAAACACATTTTATAACTAAAGAGACGAGTTTGAATTTGAATTTGAATATGTGAATAACTGAACTTACTGAATTTGAATAGCCGAGCCAAAGAAATAATTCACTAAAGATTGAAAAGATTCGATCCTGAATTACCCGTTTTGCAAATACTTCGATTAAGTAGAATACGAAAAAAGGCATCCAACATATAACAAAACCTGCAAGCAGTCAAACTCAACTGGAATTGATACTAACGAGAAAATATTAGTATGAGAATTGCACAACAGATTCAGATGAACTTCGTCAAATGAATGAATAGCTTTGGAATATTTCAAACATTCCAGTCTCATTGCGAAGGTTGCGATCTTTTACGGTAGCACATTATCGAAATACCCGGAACTATATGGAACGTTTCTGGGCACAAATAACTCGCTAATTCAAGAGTTATTCATTAACAAATTCGTAAATGGATTAAACCATATTACGAGTTCTTATACAATATAATGCAGTATCCTAGACTGAGTGAGTGGCGCTAAAACTTACCGAGAACAACAATGCCAATTGTCTTCAGAGCTTTTCGTTCCCTCAAGTAAACCATTTTCTCCTTCGATCCTCGCGTTATTTTGCCTGGTCCATATGTGTGATAGTGATCTTGAGCCTTGTCTAGCAGGTTGATCGGTTGCAATCGATTGTGACACAGTTGAGCTGTTTTCGTTAGCACAGGTACCACATTTGTTTCAGTGTTGTTGCGAACTGCGGGTGCATGCTTCAAGAAACGATCAAAAGACTAAGAGTATAAAAGACGGCTATGAGCTTCAATTTCTGAAGTTCAGTGAAGCTTGTTCATTACCATTTTCAAACAGTTACAAGGGGGAACAGGTGACTGAAGGAAGGACGAAAAACATTCGATAAGTGATGCAACAAAGTAACTGAAATGAATGAAAGCATTAGCATTGAGCATAGGTCTAATAAACCGGTTTTTACCATTTTAGGTCCAGCTAAGTCAGCCATTGAATGACTTGCAAGATGTTGTCGATATAAAGTGCTTCTATACAACGAACGACCATCAGAGTCGGCATTTATTAAAGTAGCACTCAGAGTTGAATCACGCTCATCTTGTCCAAGAGTTGCTTCATCGTAATCGATTAAATCAAATCTCGAGTCATATTTTACAAGCGCAATTTGTTCATCTCTTAAAGAATATCACAGATTTAGAAATGACAATATGTGAAGACCATAATTATTTGTGTCGTGATAAAGTACTTGATAAGCTCATGTCTGATTCTCAGAACTACTCACAAATTTGAACACAAGCATACGAAGCGCTACAACGACTAATGAACATTCACAGAGAACAATTCTCACTAGTGCGTTGCGGGGAAGGAGAAGAAGTCGAGGACGAAATTTTGCAGTCGGGGATCCCGAAAACGCGGCTGCCTTCGAAAATGTTGTAGACGGGGTCCCCGAAATTCCCAGTTCCCCGCAGTACTCACTATGAAATATATAGTCGTCATGGAATAAGAGTGAATATACTTGAAAAACCGTAAATTTCGCAGTGAGTAAGAAAGTGCCAACTAAGTTTCAAGAAGTTAATAGATTAATCGAAAGCGTTCTTGATGGAAAGATCTCAAAAAAGTGCAACTCGACTTCAAAATATGGTCAATTTGTTTGAAATCAGTTTCAGCACGTCGATGCATACATAAATTGCTGCTCTTCACGGCAATTATGAAATGATAAAGTACAATTACGAATGCAGTTCTAAACTAATGATGAAGATGAAGGCATGGAACTTCCATCAAAGAAGAACCTTTTTGTTGAGCTATTATATTGTGTCGAATAGTTTCTTACGTTATCGTCGCTCAAATTTATATGACTCCACGACTGTGCGTTTGCATATCTACAAAGAAATTGATTGTGATCATTAAAATACAATTGATCAACCATAAATCTATTCCCATCAATTGGTTAGCTTTTTTTTCAGCGTTAATAATTACTTCAAATTATTTCGATGATTGTCGTTGATTAAAAGCCGATTTTTCCGTTTTGTTTTGGTGTCTCTTTTCGATAAACGACACGTTCCTAGCGTTTGTCGCATCAACGCTTCTCGTTCGGATGTAACGCGAAAAATTTTGAAATAGACTGATAGCATGACCTGAAAATCAGATTTATTGCAACCTTTAGAAGTTCGGTTTTAAAACGGGTCTTTAGTAGCATCGTTCGAATATGAAATTGGCTTTTTCAAAACTATAATTCTCTCATGTGCTTAAACAATAACGTTGACCGTATGATCGTATAGAAAGATCTAAAATTACAGTGAAACGCAGATTGGATTGTACTTGGCAAACTGAGTGCTAAAATGATGATATCATGAAAATTTGAATGAATTAGAATAAACATCTGTAAAATAGTGAACTGCCTTCAAAGCGCACTAACCAACAATGGAATGTAAAAGCTGCCAAGAGCACTGTATATTCGGTAAGGAATTGATGGTGAGTAGACACAAGCAAAGGAATGTCGAGATGTAGTTGAAGTAGATAATGAGGAGGTGGAATTAGCTGTTTTCAGATCATCATTAGTGTACTGCGTAAAATGTCCCCAATCAGGAACAAACCATGGTGGACTGCATATTATTATCGAAAGCAACCAAACGCAACTAAGCAGACCAGCTGCCATCTTCTTACTTCTACAACTCCAACAGATTTACTGTCGAGTGAACATATACCGTATCAAACGTATTCATAAACTGTTCAACGCTCCATACACATTTTCACATGTTGTTCTATACAAATATTTCACAAAATTTCACTTCTGTTATAAAATGGTGAGGTTTGAGCAATGCTAAACGAATGAAAATATAGAGGAACAAACAAAACGCCAGAAACTTCTCTACTTATAGAAGTAATGAACTGATTGGTTGTCCTAAAACGTTGTGAATTAGTGAATCAACAGCTGTGAAACGTCAGCACTTTGTTGAAACTAAAATAAAGATGACCTTGTTCGTGGATATTTCAATGGACTAGTAATAGCCATATATCGATCCAGTGATATAATACATAAATTAAGTATCGATGCCGTGCATAATAAGACGTCCGTAGTAGCCCACGCACCGCACCATATCCTTCCCAGTGGCCAGTTATGGCTGTGTAATAGATCAAGTAATGACAATGGCATCACGACAAGCCCAACGAGTAAGTCTATAAAACTGTATTCATTCAACGGAAACCATTCGTAGCATAACTGAATAAGTTTGCACTTATCTTTCTTATACTTATTATTAATGAAGCGTGCTCCAATTAAAATTTCAGTATAATGTAATTTGAATCAGTTCGTTGCAAAACGTAACGAATGGAGCAAATGATCATAGCCATTGATGAACAGTATCCATCATCGAATTATTTTTGTAAGATGAAAAATAATTTTAGCAAGCTGCATTCAAAAGGCACCCAATCTCTGTCAAAGCAACAGAACAAGGAGATGAACCATTAAAAACTATGGATAAGAGGATGAAAGAAATCGATGCATTTCGTTCAAAACTGTAACTTAATTGCCTATTCATTATCGATGCTAAAACGCGCTCACACTTAAGAGATGCTGATGAAATAAACTGGGGAATGCAATGCTTGCGTATGTTTCCTCGATGTTTTTCGGAATACCGTCACAGCATTTTTGTCATTAAGTAGCTCCTTCATTATGCAAGTGAAAAAAAANAAAAAAAAGATTAGTTATGCTTCAAAAAACTCATTTCAAAAAAGATTTCTCGTGACCCTAAATGTTATCGTACTTACCGGCAGTTGCAAGTGAAGTGAGAAGAATATTGGTGAATGTTCGCATCCGCTGATAAACGAAAACAGATAGCACGACGAGAATATTACCAAAAATTGTTGCGAATATGAGAAGAACCTAGATGATTATGATTTCAGATCTATGTTAAATTTTCTGCTGTACAAGTAAGCAGTTTATGTGGTAAGCTTCATGGAAATCGAGCATCGAATAAGCACAATTGATCAGAAATAAGTTCATGCCAAAAAGCGGCTTTTGTTGCCTAGCCAAATGAAGGGAAAACATCGTTCTATAGACCCATAAGATAAATCGAATCATAAAAATAGGAATACGAAAAGGCTGGGCCATTTAACTGGACCGAAGTATTTTTAGTGCTGCAGTTAAAAATATGATGAGGCCACCCAAGAACGTGTCAAATTTATTCCATACCATGAAACTCAGACACCAAGAATGCCCAATAACAAGGACAAAAAAAAGAAAACTTTGAAACTATTGAATGCTTGATTGCTGATCGACAAGCAATTGAGGATGGAAATTAGAAGGCCAGAAATGCGGAATTTCCCGCAAACTAGGAATGAAACTTGGAATAAGGATAAGAGGTGAATGACTCACAAGAAAGAGTGCAACGAATACGTCCTGTAATCCAAGGCACAATTTGAAGGCAGAGGATTGTGATGCGAATTGTGCCTGGAGTGCACTAGAGTGCTGATTATCAGTGAATGTTTTGACATGTTGTTTAACGACCGACACAGCAACGAGAGCATCTCTTGTGAGTCGACTTGAATTAGACATTGTTGATGCGGTTACTGTATGGTTGCTATTCTAGGATTGATGAGCCGTTTGGAAAGCAACAAACTGATTAAGACAGATTGTCCCTTTTCATACTAGGACGATTCTTGTTGCTGATTTATTTCGTAGTGAAGCGGTGATGAATGGAATGTTACAAACGAGGACGGACGAAACGAATTCGCGATTGAACTCACGCACAGCAAAAGTTCAGTTGAGCAACAGAAATAGCTGCTAAACATACTTAGAAAGGGGTTGTTTCAATTTCAGTACGCTAATTGCGACCGACCAGCTGACATCAGTAGAAAAGTATTCAGTTCAAATAAGATTTTCCAAAAAATTAATCGATTAGCTGAATACTAATGACAGCGACGACAGTTCTGCATCGTCGTTTACATGTGACCAGTTATTTCCATTAATTGTGTTGTTGCTGTGATCGAATTTGAAATAAAATGCAGTTTGGAGATGTAATTGGCTTCAACCGAATTATCAATATCTAAAAGAAATTTTAGTATTGTACGCTTATGATCTTACACCGAAGATAGCGCTAATGGACAATAACAACATTGTAAAATGCTCACGGTTGAGTTGAGCCATACACATGCGTAGATTCTAAATACTGAGCCTCTACAAACTATCATATCAATCCTTCATAGGTGGCAAAAAAGTCAAAAATGATTTGAATGACTTTATTTCTGATATAATAATGGGGCGGCATCACTTTTGGGACATCGATTCAACCGTTTACCAGGAAAATAAAGAATAATTGCTGAAACATATGATTATTATTCTCCTGAATTGATAAGTAATAATGTTTCGTTTGTATAATATATCTTTGCTAAAATATGAAATGAAAAGACGCTTGTTAATTTCGCAGCAACCTAGTTTACATGAATCTATATGTAACAAACTAATACAATAAATGTACATTTATTAATTGAAAAATGATTGAGGGAAACACAATATTGAACATTTATTATGCGAACTGATGCATTAACAAGTAGCATTGTGACCGGTTGATGCGGAAAGCATAGCGATAAAGTGAGTTAGTTGTTAGTTGCTTAGCTATGCTATCAAACGCTCTAAATCATGAAATCTTTAATGGTCATCACGTAGCACTCATTTTGTATCATCTTCTCTCGAGTCACTCATAATTTAATCTCGTCAAAAGCTCAGATGTAGTTAGAATCAATGTTCAAAGAAGTTTCCAATAAAACGAACAGCACCCATGAAGCTAAGTTTCAAGAATTAAGGCGGAGTTATGTCCTGTGTAATTCAGTAATTATAATTCCCAACTGAAAGAACATTGAATGAATAAATCATTCACTCATTTATGAAAACAAATCAATAAATAAACGAATCTAGGGCGATTAATGTGATAAATTAAACAAAGAAGGCTGTTCACTGAAAGATATGAATCGTTTTCAGTGCATTATTAAGTAGAAAAGCATGGATATGTGAATGATAAGGTGAGAAAAATGAAATTCTTATCGCTATCATTATTATTATCATTATCGCTATCATTATTCTTTTCAACGTCATCATCGCATTAACAAAAGAGCATTTTTGTAGATGTTCAGTTGCAAAATGAAAAGCAACTGATTAAGAAGTACGAATACGCATTCTTTAAATCATACGGAATGCATTTCATCACTTTCAATCACAACTCATTTCAGTTCATTTGCGCATCACTCCATTGCCTGATCGTAATCATAGGTGAGTTACAGATGAGGACAAATCGAGCGAACAGATTATGCATAGTGAAATCGAAGACCATTTTGACTATTGATGAAGCGATTGTGTTTTGCTCTAAAGAAATATCATAATGTTGCATTAAGATGAGCATGCTTATGGAGTGACGAAAGTGATAGTTTTACGACAAATAGAATCTTTGTTAAGCGTATAGAGAGCTTCAAAAGAAAATTTAATCACATAGACATCGCAAGTGATTTGATTTCACGCTCTTTCATGAAGAAGAATCCGATCTGTTTTTGATATTAGCACATAGGAGGTGTTCATTAGGACACGATGTGTTCACTGTGTTTCTTGATTGCTTCGTACAACTCAAAACCTTCGACAGCTGCTAACTGAAACGTAAATAATCTTGGACTGTCACATAATATTTATAATAGTCGACTGCATTAAACCTTTCAATGCATAAGCAACAATATTATAGGATATTTTAAGAGCGAACATCGTTGTATTTACTCTTCATTGAGTGCTGATGGCAACATGTACATGACATATTGTTCATTCATTTCTAGACGTTAAATCCAGAAGTTAAGACTGATAGCTTAACCTAAACATTGATATAGCTGAAAGTTTGGAAAGGAAAAGGCAAAAAATTTTTGATTGCTGAGAAGGTATTCACTTCAACTAACTCAAACAGAACAATGCATTGAAAGTTATCGAACATGCAAGCGTAGTCTAGTGGCGAACTAAAACAACTTAAAAGAGAAACTTGTGCATTCAGAGAAGAAAAATGCGTAACAAACGATGCGACCAGTAAAGGTTGAATCGTTATAATGACGATTACACAACACAAATGTGCAATTTGAATGCACATGCTTTCTAAATTAGAGTGTGCCTTATTGGAGGTGAATACGGTTGAATGCTCAATTATGCGTATGTTTGCAATAGCTTCGCTTAATCTCAATGTTGAACTAGCAGCCGATTAGGTAAGTCTGAATCCTATCTTAAAATGCTGGATAACTACTGTGCGTATCGAAGAGGACCATTTCTAAAAGCGACAGGGCAGTTTGTGTGCCACTTTAATGTGATGAAAAATCCATTTGGTGAGCTAGCCGAAGCATATCTGAATGAAATATCTGCTATGGTCAAAAAAGGATTTCATGGTAAACTCATCTAGGTCATTTCAACTCACTGTCAGCCTGAGCGTGAGTCTACGTCCCAGCTCAACCATAGTTTAGTTAATTTAGGTGGTAAGTCAGAAAGCATTTAATTCACGATCACCATCTATGGTGTAAATATGCCTTCCCATATATTTGTCGCCATATTATGCAAGTTGTGAAAATTTCCAAGACTATTTCACATATTTTATAGAATAAAGCGTTGTGCTTGTTCATTCGATCATTCAGAAGTATTTAGCAGCCCTAGCCTCACCGGTCAGTTAGGAACAACAAACATATTATTGTGCAAAAGACAAACAAACAGTATAATAGTTCGGAACACCCGAATGAAGCTTGACAATTGTAGAACGTGTTTATCGCAAAGATGAGAGCCGAATAGTCTGAAGAGAAAGTTTGTCGATTTGATAAAATGTGACTTCAGTGGTTAGAGGTAACTTGAGCTATCGCGGCTCGTTGACTTGAGCCAGTCGGTGCTCATGTGTGCAGTTTCAATCAAAAAACAAAAAAGGAAAGTCAACATCATGAAACGCTCTTAAATATTCGGAAATGCGAAATCAGTAATTGGTGTTATATTGAGCGATTCAATGGAGGGAAGAAATCATACAGCATATGAGGTCAAAAAGTGAGAAGAACATTTGGAGATGCGGAATACACTTGCTAATAAAATCGTGTTAAGTTTGAATTGAACTCGGTTTAATACATGTGGTGGTAAGTAACAAGATAGCGACAAGTCATATTAAGGCTATCTGGAGCGTAGAAATGAAAAATAAACAAGTGTTGCATTGCATACAATAACTTCATTTCAGGCTCCTTTGATCGATGTCATGAAAAAATTAATTAAAATGCAATTGAGTCGAGTATATGCACGATGATCAAGACATTGAATGTGAGACACATATGAAGCCTCTTACTAGTGCAGTTGTTCACATGAGTCTACTCTCGCTCTGTGTAAGCCTCAGTCAGAGCATAAGCCAAAGCGCGAAAGCCTAAAGGCATAACTGAACCTAAACTCGATCCTGATTCGAGCGCATGAGACTAAAACACATCCGAATGTACTTCTGCAGCAGCACGACGTTTGCATATTGCTTACCTATATTATGGCATCATTTTGTGAAAATATACGTATCTTTCAGTTATAAAATTAGCACAAATAACTAGCGGTATTTGTATTCCTCGACAACATTTTAAAATTCAAATCGTTGAACTTTTAGTGCAAACATTTTCGTTGATTCGCTATCAAATTCAACAGCAACAAGTGTTTTCTAATCTATATTCATTCATTTGGTGAGTTATTAGATTCGAACATGTCCATAAATGGCCAGTACATAACTGACTATGATACTTATTCGATTGTTTCGTAATTGATTGTGTTGACAAGTGACAGTATCTGCTGCACATTGGTACAGGTCAGCAACCAACCCAACTAGTATTTTCGAACTTATGCACATCTGTAATTGGCGATTTAAACATATCCCTAAGCTGAACACACCTTTGCACTGACCACCGTTTGAATCATATATTATTCCTTAATTTTGAGCATTCAAGAAAGAGTTCTGTCCTCTTAGATGAAATTCACGCAAATTAACGGTCGTAACGGAAAGAAAAGCTGCATACACAACTTTCAGTCAATGACTTATGAATGATGACAGATTTTAAAAAAATCTTATAGATTTCTAGTTCTCTCACAGCTATAGCAGGCAAATTTTTTGGAAATGATGGGGTATAATTGGTACTTTTATGGACACTATAATTGAAAGGTGTTGTGGGGCGAATATTTTTCAAAAAAAGTAAAGAAGCTGATCCGAATTTCTAGCGATTGTAAAACTCATGCGCGATTGATTGCAAATACTCAGCCAGTAGATACCCTCTCACGAAACGTCACTGCATTACTGTTGAATGCATTTACTTGTCAAGTTCACTACCATCTGAACAAAAATCGGATTTTTAAATGTACTCCAAATTACATACAGTTCTGAAGAAACGTTAACAAACGGAACAAATTTTTAATCCATAATTGCTGAAGACTTTGTAAGAGTTCATCAAAAGTCAAATGAGAGGAGAAGTGTATTCTTCGCGCAGAAATGTGTTCTCAGCTGATGGTTGCACCATAAGCTCATATTTGTTTGATGATAAAGG